TCACAACCACCAAGTGGCCATCATTGCAAGCCGTCCATTAGCTAGCTCGGCAGCCAACTTGGTCTTGCGCGCTTCAGGGTCCTCAACCTTGCCCAAAAAGGTGGGAAATCCGACGCCGTAGTTGCCTGGCTCGCCTGTCTCAGTGGAATCCTTCATGCTGAACTGACCCTCACGAGGGCCGCGTCCATCCGTGGTGGAAGCTGCCTGGAAGAACCCAGTTGTCTCAATCAAACCAGCGAAGGCAATGATCTGGGCACCGCCAAGGACGGGTAGCCTTAGTATAGCATATCATCCCAATCACGAAAAACCACAGGCAACCAAGCGCAGTCACCTCCAACCATTCTGATCTCACTCCCGAAATCTGCAGAGATGCTGAAACTGAAATGTGCAAGTGCAAGTGTCAACTTATAAACTCATCGCGGGCGCGGTTAGTAGCTAAGCACTTGGCTTGGACAAGGCCGCAAGGCCATTTGGCACATCGGCAAACTTAAGCCCAAGAGATGGCGAAAGGTATCCAGGGAACTTGTAGTATTCCGGAACGATGTAGCCAATGGTTGCATACATAGCCTGAGCTCTACATGTCTTGGCGCCCCCGTGCCCATGCTGCAATGTGCCTACTACTGTAGCGTGTCCATATTGTGACTGTGGCTACTCTGCTCACTGCTTCAGTTTTGTCCGTTTTGAAAGATCTGAGAGGATGACAATCCGGCCGTGCTTGATCTCTACCGCCCGCCGGCGCTTGAAGGTTGCCTCGTCCTCACAAATTGCACCAAGCTTTGAACGCCACAAAGCAACACATGGCCCCGGGAAAATACACACCCACACACTCGCACCCACACACCCACAGACACACAAACAGACAAACACCAAACAAAAAGGCGAAATTCAATCTCGCACAGCATGTCACCACTCAGCCGGCCGCGTGTATGGCCTTGTCTGCGCTCAGCCCGAGGGGGTCCCAGAAGCCGATAGGATCCTCCGAAGATGATGGCTCTTATACACACAAATCATGTCGTGAGCGGGCCCAAAGCAATGTTTTCAAACACCCACCACGTATCTCGAAACTAGGCCGGCTGGACAAAAACCCACCGCCACCGCACTGAGAGTGAATGCGCGTGTGACACAAATGTGCTCGATGAGATTTTTAAAAGCTCACGCCTAGTCGAATCATTTGCAACACCATGCGAAATGTTTTTTTGACCCCGGCTTCATCTACACTGCCTGTGGTGTTCAAGATTCAATTTCCAATTGTATCAGACAATGCTTCTGCACATCAAACATTTCTTGTGTAGTCAAGGCAGTGGCACGCAGGTGCTTTCTGCCAAAAGCAGCTGCAAGCCAAAAAATGCGAAAGTCCAAAAAGATTTGTTCTGCAGCCAATTACTGGCTAGGATCAAGTGTAATATCTGAACTTCTCATTCTGACTTTCGAAAGCGTTTCTTGTTAAGAGAAAAGGACCTGCCCCTTGGATCATTCGAGGGTTATGAGTTCGAATCGCCTGTTTTAGCACAGGGATCAAAAAAGATACCGTCTTTCCCCCGGCATGCATTTTTGGGAGTGATAGAATTCAAGCTGATCATGCACTTCAACATCTGCGGCCTTCCACTTTAGATAGGATGCATCAACCTGTTCGCCTGGGTGATGAGTTGGACACAACATCTAGACCACTGCAAGAAAAACCTCGCAGCTTGCAGTTTGGGAGTCAGTTTGAGGCACCTGCCACTGGGAAGGGTTGTGCAGTTGAGCCCAGCAAAGAGATGAACGCCGCTGTAGAGCCAGAGAAAATCACGGCATGTGCTGAGCGAGCTTAAAGGAGGAGAGGACAGCTGCGAAGCAGCCGGTGAAGGTTGCTCAAAGGACGGGATTGAAGAAAAGAAGGAAAAAAAATGGAAGAAGCAATGGGGGATCATGCTCTTCAGCGCTGCCACGACGAAATGATGAACCTGTCACAGAATCTTCAGATGATGAGAGATGAAGAAAGGGAACTACATGTTGCTTTGGCAGTGCCGTCCTGGGTGCCAACATCACCCCCACGTACGACACTATTTGTAGACTTTTACAAGGATTTGCATGTCACTTGAAACTTTTCGATGTGCACCCGGCGGAACCAGAGTGCCACTGGTCCACCACCTCTGGATCTGGCAACCAGAGATCAGCAGCTATGAGCCTAGTGTGGGGCTTCCGAAGAAGGTCAGAGGAGGGAAGGGTGACTGTGAGCATTCGTTGGCTGAGGTGCGCTCACCAAGGGCTACTGGGAGTCTACTGTCGAGAGAGAAGTGGCGGGACAGAAAGAAAGAGAAATTGGACAAGGGACCAAGTCAACTAGAGCTAGTGAAGCTATGGAATCTGCTACACGCATGAAATGTCATGCTGGATTGAGTGATTCTCGGATGTCTGGTGATGAGTCATGGTGATCCGATTGGCATGGAGCGTGTGCTCCGAGAACTTCATCAGCGAGATCGGGTCAGCATGTTGCAGCTTCATGGAGGTGTATATATGTCCATCTGATCGGGCTAGCATGGAGCATGTTCATGGTGACGTATACCCAGACAAGCTCGGGCTAGCATGGGGCATGTTCATGGCACCATAATTATATGGGAATGATCGGGCTATAGCAATGAGCAAGCCCTTGGTGATGTATATGGACAAGGTAGAGCTCGCACAAGCAAGAACGTATGTTGCGAAAATGAAGGTGCAGCGGCTGAGAGGACTTGGCAGTCCACATTGCGAAGCACAAGGAGCTTGCAGAGTGCGTCACCATCAATGCCTACGTGGCCACAGTCGGGCCGGGCTCCAGCAGTGCTGCTGTGGTGGATGATCCACAAAGAATGCGGCCGGAATCGGGCTTTGGCAACCTTGTGGTGGGCGCAGCCCTGTTTGAGCGAGGCCATAGGGTTTCACGCAATAATGCTTGGAATGAATTTCGGCAAGAAGTTTCCAGCCAAGGCTGGAGCTCGGATAAAAGCCGAGCAGCATTCTGGAATTTCAAGTCAAGCACATGGAAGAAACCTTGGGATAGGGGCGCGAATGGATAAGCCCACAGAAAATTTAAAATGCATTGGGCCTGCACAAGTACTAGGAAGGCGTTTCCACCGAAAAAAAAGGGGAGTGAAGAAGCCAAATCACTGTGGCTATGATGAGTTAGTCATTCACAAGGCTGCTGTTGCTCCCGCATTTGCCGTGAAAGTGAATAAACTTGAACGTTGCCCCACCCAAACCACAAGCCATGACGCACAGTAGCGGTCAAGTCATGTACAAGGCAGCTTGAACGTTATTGCCCCGCCTCACTCCACCCAAACTCCAAGCCATGACGCAGCGGTCAAGTCATGTACAAGGTAACTTGGACATTTTTTTAAATATATGACGTGTACGTGTTCGGAAAATGGCACAACCACCCACGCGGTTTTGCATCCGCGACTATGCACAGGACGCAAAACTCCACAGTCATGCTTAACATTGCCGGTATACAAGTGTCCCGCTACTGCCTCTTGACCGGCATTGTTTACTTCGTGTGGGAAAACTCATTGCTTGTTGATCAAAGAAGTGACACGCAGCCTACGGAAAATGCTGAAGAAAGTTGGTAAAAACATGTAAAAACTATTTTTGCAATCCCAAGCAAGACAGGGGCACGAAAACTACGGTTCACACGAGCCTGGAGACATCATGGGATCCTAATATGCTCAATACTATTAATACAATTTTTCTGTCGACCATTTCCGCGAAAAGAAAAAATGCGGATATTATGCAGGATAAATTTGAGCGCATAACCAAGGCAAAAAACAATCTGCTCCGAAATGCTCTTGGGGCTTTGGGAGAATTCTCCGGCGCCGGGTTGGGGCGGAGCGGGGCAGAGCTGCCCGTCCTTCGCTTGAGGAAGAATAAACTTTCGGGCTAGCATGGCCGCCATGTTTGAAGAAAGGCGCATCAGGGCTCAAAAAGGCACATCACCCAAACGAAACCCCCATGGCCGCACCAATGAATTTGAAAGAATTTTAGCTATTTACTATGGGAGGAACACAAAGTCACGAGAAGCGACTTCTGCCTTCCCATCCCCATGGCCATGCCTTGATTTGATTCTCTTTTGTCTTGGATAAATTGCATCTGGAAGTTGGAATTTCTAAGGGTACACTATATTTTTGATTGCTTGCGGTGACTTATCCGGAGGCACATCCGCATGGCCACAGCACGATGTGGGAGCAGGTATCCATGAGCAAGGGCTCAGGAAATTCCATGCCCCCCGCGAAAGCCCAAGAAACTTTCTGGCAAGTGTTCTGGCGTTCGGGCCCGTGTGTGCCCAGCCTGAGCTGGAGCTCCCTCTAGAGACTCCGTGTCCGTGTGTGCCCAGATTGCTGTGTACCTTGCGATAGGTCTCAGGTCCGCGTGTGCCCAAATTGCAATGGAGCTCGCCATGAGCTTCTGGAGAGACATTGCTCACTTCAAACTGGCACTTGCTGTGAGATCCGGGTCCGTTGTGCTTACAGTGACGACGAGCTGGCACTGGAGGAGGAAGAGGAGGAAGAAGAAGAGTCACACCTTTGATAAAATCAAGAGACCTTCGCCGGACCCGCACTAGGAAATAGATGACCATCTAACAGCAAACATATTTACATACATACGTATATGACATATCCAAAAATATCCAATAGGTATCAGCATTATAATGATGAAGAGAGCCTTGCAACACCTCTTGATGAGCCGCAACATGCCGCAACGCATGGCCGCAGCGAAATTTCAATGATGATTTTGATGTTAACGAGCCCCATAAACATCTTTCCCCCATGGCCGCAGACAGCTGATTGACACGACTTTTTGTGTGGTGATACGCCTTAGGGTGAGTACCTAGTACCGCCAGAATTCGTGACGTGATTTCACAAACAACCACTTCTGACAGCTTTCACAAGACAACCATCAACATACTTGCGTTTCTGCGCAATGTGTCTAGGAAGCTTATTCGGAAAAACACATTTGACGACTATGAACGGGGGAAATTTATGGAAATTTGACGTAGCGCGCGCAGTGGATTTGACCATTTCATTTTTTCTCATGTCTGGGAAGAAGATTTGGTGCAAGAAACAGCGAACAACCTCTGGCGAGTTAAAAAACGTGTAGTATGTTTTGCGGTTGTTTCCACAATACCTTGATTTCAGCAAATTTGTATCATAATCCATGCCATGCTCACATACATCCCAGTTTCCAGCATATTTGGAAGTGTAGCCCGACGAAATGCAATGCCGTTGGGGGGAAGCACATAGAACTTGGAATGGAGATGTAGAAAACTGCTTCTGATTCAAACATGTTTTGTGATTTCCAGAAGTATCTCTGGGAACAAGCCGAGGCAAAATTGTTACAGTTGCGGTTGTGTATGCCAAAATCATGTCTTTGAACTTGTACATGTTGGAAGAAAAACCATAGAGAGGCATACTTGTTGACTCTGACATGCGCGGCAGGATCTGCAAAATCTTGGCTGGCCAGGTTTGGAAGGGTCCGGTTGGCTTTGTTTTTTCGTTCAAAAATATACCGCACAAGTCCGCACAAGAAACAAAATTAGTCATTCGCATTTTTTGCTGGGAATATGGTATGTATAGTCGGGTATCCGCAGCTCGAGATTTTCTGTCGATAGGATGATTGCGGCTTTATGGTTTGTTCATACGCTGTTCGTACAATATGTGGGCAAAGTTCGTACAGTGGCCAAAAGAGTTCGTACAATCTTCATTTAATTTAAAGTACCACTAAAGTTCATACAATATTGTATACGACCTTTTTGGCCATTGTACGAACTTTGTCGAACATGCGTCGAATTGCCATTCATTATGCAATTATGGGCATTGAATCGTCAGTGCGTCGCTCAGAATAAGACTGCTATGAGGTAAGTTTTGCAAAGCACACCAACGTGTGTGATGTGGTTTTTGAATGGTTTGTGACTATGTGCAATAAAAGGGAAGATTGTTGTCAAGACTCCGCATTATATCGCGCCATAAACGCATGCGCTTCACACAATTGGATATTAATATACGCGCTACAGACAATGTATATTCCAGAAATATGCAATACCAGCACGCGGTGGTAGTCGACCACAGCATTTGGATGAGAAACCGCCAGCAAACATGACATTATGGTTGCACGAGCTGGAAAAATAGAGAACTCGAGAACTCAGCTTCATTGCGTTTCTGTTGGCCACAGGGGGCACAGCTAGAAATCACAGTTGATGATTTACAACACCGGTTCTCTGACCATAGCATTTCCGATGTGAATGGGCTTTAATTTTCAAGTCTGTCGTTGTTGGTTTGGGACTTGTCCGCTGATGTCTGGTCATGTTTCTTGATCTATAGTGAAAGTTTCTCTAAAAAATGGAAATCGAAAAAAAACAGATTGTTTTTCTTAGTTCCAAGAATAGGTACCTGATTACAACCAGATCAAAGCTTTTTTGCGACTGCAACTAGGGCATCCGTAATCCGAAATTAATTCAGCCCCGCTAGTATTGACGACTGTCCGCCAATGTCTTATGCAAATCCAATGAGAACAAATGTTGACCCACCAGCCGTCACTCGGTAGAAGCCAGCGGGTATCCTGCACTCCCAATTCTTTCGCAGGGTCGAAGCTGACATAGCTGCTGCTGCTATCCCCGAAGAATTGCCGAGCCGTCTGCAGGAAGTGAGCCGTGGCTTCTAGCAGGTATAATGGACTTGAAAGAATCAATCTTTGTGAGCCAACATGTCTTGACTCCATTTACCACAGCTCAGTGCAGCTAGTTTCTAAGTTGCAACTGTGTTTGGAAAAAGGTTTTGGTAAATGTGGCTGTTTCAGAACATTTAGAAAAGGCGGGAGGAACATATAGCCACCCTCTTTGCTTTTTGCGTAGTCACCATCACCATTCCCCTCACAACCGTCACACATATTCAGATCAGCCCGTTCATATTCACAGTCAGCAACTCATCACCATCAACGTCATCAACAACATCAACAAAATAATCAGCATCATAATCATAATCCAAATAGTATTAGTAATAAAACACAGTAGTAGTAACAAAAACAATGATGATAATGACGAGAATAGTAAAATAAACATCATCATCGTCATGATCGTCATCATCAAATTTTATCATGACCGCCACCATCTTCATTGTCAGCGGCTTATCACAATCCTCACAGTCATGGTCATCATCATCACCGGCGACATCATCATCATCATCATCATCATCATCATCATCATCATCATCATTCATCTTCACCGTCGGCGTATGTCGGCGTCATCACCGTCATAAACATCATCGTCGTCATCCTCATCATCACATCATCGCGGTCGTCATCCTCGTCATCGCCGCCATCGTCAGCTTGGCGATCGTCGTCATCGTGACCATGATCGTGGTCACCGTCATGATCACCACCACTGTCATCGTCATCATCATAATCACTATCGTTATTGCCGCCGTCATCGTCATCATCCCCGCCGTCGTCATCATCCTTGATGCTTTCAGTATCCTTATCCTTTTTGGCGTCCTTCGCCGTAATCAGTAGCATCATCGTCTGTCTATCGCCTCCTCCTCTTTCTCCTCCCCGCCTTTGCCCCCTTTGAAATGTATGAGCAGGCAAATTGAACATATGAGCCTGGTAAAGCAAAATGAAGCTTTACAATTTTTCGAGGAAACAAACCCAGAAGCATGCACTTGCTTGGTGCATTTTGATCTCCAACACTCTCCTCTTTAAGTGGATGTCGCAAAGCCCTGCCTTGGACGGCTTGCCAGCCTGAGGCAGAGGAAAGAAGGTTACAGGCTCTCAGCTTCGATTCACAGCAAGAAAGAAGAGCACCCGCTCGTCTGTTCGTCGAGAGCTCGTGACACCACTTGAATCACTTGAAGTACTGACAGTGGGGATCGGACGCGCACGGCGGCCTCAGCGAACACGCCAAATCATCCAGCCAATACACATCGTAGGGTAATGCGCAGGAGCAACTGGGCAGCTGCAGGGCTCAATCTGTATCACTAGAATGTGAGCAAGGGGAAACCACGCCGCTTCACAACCCTCGATCACCGATTGTTGCAAAAGCGAGTGAAGGTAGCCTTGATGAAAAACGAAGCGCTGGAAAAATGAGAGCGGAAAAGGCAAGCCAACTCAGAGACCGGGCCAGTGCGCTAGTGACAACACCTGCGACTGCCAAACTTGAGATGTGCACCTCAGTGGCAAACATACGCTCCCTCAAGAGATAACCTGCCGGAGCACTGCGCTCTTGCACTGGTGTTGAGCCAGGGCTGATTCGGCGCAACTCGTCATGAGACGTTTCTGCCAAAATTCTTAAATGGCAACTCATACTTGTGGGCACACAAACTCAATTCTCACTTTTGCTGCTTTCGCAGCCCAAAAAATGATCTCAGGCCCCCAGCAGATCCTTTCAGGGGCTGCGCAGTTGACCTCGAAAGTGCAAAATCTGGCGTGGGAATGCGGCACTCTCGCACTCTGCGCGTTTGGAATCTTAGAAGCTCCCCCCCTGGCTTCAACGCTAAGATTTTGACCGCTGGACAGAGGTTTCAACTCGAGGGATGCTGCTGGGAGCAACAAAACTTGGAGCCTCAGATAGCCAAGGGAAACAGGAATTACCACGAGAAATAGCGGGAAGGCTGATTCCACATGAGTTTGCCAATATCCCCCCGGGGTGAATGTCAAGGACAGCCCTGGCAATGACATCCAGCATAATTTTCTGGGCATTACCTGCTTTCATTGGCATCATGTGACTAGCGCTAACTTTCTTCAGGCCAAACCAAGGGGCCTTTGCAAGCACAAGGCGCGCTCTTTCATTTTTCAAAAGCCCGGCCCAACGTTTTTCCCCCCGACTTTGTGTGGGGTTCTTGTTTTTGATTCTGTATCCCGGGTCGCCTCCCGCCTCCCGCCTCCTCCCTCCTCCTCCCGCCTCATCCCTCCTCCTCCCGCCTGTCACACACCCAACTTTGTCACATACCATCTTGTCACATACCATCTTTCACATACAATAAGTTCACGCACACAAACTTAACACACAACTTTGTCACATACCATCTTTCACATACAATAACTTCAAACACACAAACTTAACACACAACTTTGTCACATACCATCTGTCAAATACCAACTTGTCACATACCCTCTTTCACATACAATAACTTCACACACAACAAATACCATCTTGTCACATACCATCTTTCACAGACAATAACTTCACACACAACTTTGTCACACACCATCTGTCAACAACCATCTTTGCGTGGCATCTCACGTCCACTGTCGTTTTGCGTGGCAGGCGTGGCGCTCATGGCACTGGGTGGCGCGCTTGGGCCCTCTTGGTCGCGCGTGACGCCGCAGCACTTTGCGTGGCAGGCGTGGCACTTGGTGGCATCCACTTTGGTTCCACGTGGCAGGCGTGGCACAATCTCACATCCACCTTGGTTTCACGTGGCAGGCGTGGCACAATCTCACATCCACGGTCGTTTTGCGTGGCAGGCATGGCACTCATGGCACTGGGTGGCGCGCTTGGGCCCGCTTGGTCGCGCGTGACGCTGCGGCACTTTGCGTGGCAGGCGTGGCACTTGGTGACATCCACCTTGGTTCCACGTGGCAGGCGTGGCACAATCTCACATCCACCTTGATTTCACGTGGCAGGCATGGCGCAATCTCACATCCACTGTCGTTTTGCGTGGCAGGCGTGGCACTCATGGCACTGGGTGGCGCGGTTGGGCCCGCTTGGTCGCGCGTGACGCCGCGGCACTTTGCGTGGCAGGCGTGGCGCTTGGTGACATCCACCTTGGTTCCACGTGGCAGGCGTGGCATCCACCTTGGTTTCACGTGGCAGGCGTGGCACAATCTCACATCCACGGTCGCTTTGCGTGGCAGGTGTGGCGCTCATGGCACTGGGTGGCGCGCTTGGGCCCGCTTGGTCCGGCGTGACGCCGCGGCACTTTGCGTGGCAGGCGTGGCACTTGGTGACATCCACCTTGGTTTCACGTGGCAGGCGTGGCGCAATCTCACATCCACGGTCGTTTTGCGTGGCAGGTGTAGCACTCATGTTACTGGGTGGCGCGCTTGGGCCCGCTTGGTCGCGCGTGACGCCGCGGCACTTTGCGTGGCAGGCGCGGTACTTGGTGACATCCACCTTGGTTTCACGTGGCAGGCGTGGCACTTGGAGACATCCACCTTTGTTTTGCGTGGCAGGCGTGGCCCTTAGTTATGGCATTGGGCTGGCTGTGGTGTCACACGCCATCTTTGTCACACACCATCTTTCACACACTCTGTCACACACCATCTTTCACACACTATCTATCTTTGATACGCCCTCTTTCAAGACTCTTTCACACACCATCTTCGTCACACAATATCTTTAACACACCCTCTTTCACACCCAACTTTGTCACACACCATCTTTGACACACCATCTTTCACACACCACATTGTCACCCACCATCTTTGTCACACCATCTTTCACACACAACTTTGTCACCCTCCATCTTTCACACACGGCTTTGTCACACACCATCTTTGACACACCCTCTTTCACACACCATCTTTGTCACACACACACACCATCTTTCACACTTTGTCACACACCATCTTTCAACTTTGTCACACACTATCTTTCACACACAACTTTGTCACACACCATCTTTCACACACAACTTTGTCACACGCCACTTTGTCATACGCCATCTTTCACACACACCATCCTTGACACACCATCTTTCACACACCACATTGTCACCCACCATCTTTGTCACACCATCTTTAACACACAACTTTGTCACCCTCCATCTTTCACACACGGCTTTGTCACACACCATCTTTGACACACCCTCTTTCACACACCATCTTTGTCGCACACCTTCTTTCACCACACCATCTTTCACACACACAACTTTGTCGCACACCATCTTCCGCCACACCATCTTTCACACACCACTTTGCCACACACCATCTTTCACACACAACTTTGTCACCCACCATCTTTCACACACAACTTTGTCACACACACACACACCATCTGTCTTTGTCACACACCAAATTCACATACAACTTTGTCACACACAACTTTGTTTTACTTCTCGGTCCTCCACCACCTCCTTTGTCTTTCCTTATTGGCAGAAGTTGTCTTGTGGGGTTATCCGGTCCATTATTTTCCTCAAGCTTTTTTTGGTGGCCACAACAGGCAAAGCACTGGTATGTCGTAATACTATTGTCTTTTGCAGCTGGGGGTCGTAAATCGTAATGTAGTGGCTGCATATTTTCGCTTTGGCGTCGAGATCCGGTTTTGAAGCTTCAATTTGTGTAGCCGCAGCCGCTGTTCGTAATTCTGTTGATTCTATTGTGTTTTTGCAACTCTGTGTCTGCAGGTCGCAGTGGCATATGGCTGCGTCAAGGTTCCTCGCTGCTGCGGCTGTGTGCGTAATACTATTGTCTTTTGCAGCTTGGAATCATAAATCGTATTGTACTGGCTGGACGAAGGTTGCGAATGTCTTTGGCAATCTCCCTTTTGGCGCTGATGATTTTCCTTTTAAATTCCTTTTCAAAAGCGCTTCAAAATCATAGTTTTTCCGCTTTGGCGTCGAGATCCGGTTTTGGAGTTGCAATTTGTGTGGTGTAGCCTTTGTGCGTGATTCTATAGTGTGCTTTGCAGCTCAGTGTCTGCAGATCACAATGGAATGGCTGCGTCAAGGTTCCTCGCTGCTGCGTCTGCGCGCGTAATACTATTGTCTTTTTTGCAGTTGAGAGTTGTGAATCGTATTGTAGTGGCTGCATGAAGGTTGCCAATGGTGCTTTGGTAGCAGACATTTCTCCATTTTGGCGCATCCTCTCTGTGTGAAAGCTTCTCTGTGCAAACGCTTGCTGTGTAAAAGCTTCTCTGTGTGAATGCTTGTGCTCTGCGCAGCAGTTTCTGTGCGTAAAAGCTTCTCTGTGAAGAAGTTTGCTCTGTGTAAAAGCTTCTCTGTGAAAGAGCTTGCTCTGTGTAAAAGCGTCTCTGTGAAAGAGCTTTTCTGTGCAAGAGCTTGCTCTGTGTAAAAGCTTCTCTGTGAAAGAGCTTCTGTGCGTAAAAGCTTCTCTGTGTAAAAGTTTGCTCTGTGTAAAAGCTTGCTGCGTGTAAAAACTTCTCTGTGCAAAAGCTTGTTCTGGGTGAGAGCTTGCTCTGTGTAAAGGCTTCTCTGTGTAAAAGTTTTGCTGTGTAAATGCTTCTTTGCGCAAAAGCTTCTCTGCGTAAAAGCTTCTGTGGAAAGGTTTCTCCGTGTAAAAGCTTCTCTGCGTAAATGCTTCTCTGTGAAAAAGTTTCTCTGTGTAAAAGCTTGCTGTGTGTATAAGCTTCTCTGTGTAAGAGCTTCTTTCTGTGTGCAAAAGCTTCTCTGCGCAACCTGTGTGTAAATGAAAGTTTCCCTGTGTAAAGCACCTCTGTGAAAAGAGGCGAGAAGAGTTGAGAAGAGCTAGCAAGAGCTGAGAAGGGTTGACAAGAGGCGAGAAGAGTTGACATGAGCTGAGAAAGAGGTGAGAAGAGGTGGGAAGAGTTGAGAAGAGGTGGCAAGAGGTGAGAAGAGCTGAGACGAATTGAGAAGAGTGGAGAAGAGGTGGGCAGAGGTGAGAGTCATTGAGAAGAGTTGAGAAGAGCGGGGAAGAGGTGAAAAGAGTTGAGCTGAGGTGGGAAGAGATGAAACATGTTTGAGAGCTGTTGAAAAGGGCTGTGAGAATGGAGAAGAGCTGGGATGGTCTGAGAAGAGCTGCGAAGAGCTGGGAAGTGGTGGTCACAGTTGAAACGGAGTGCGGCAAGATGAGGACGAATTCAGCCAACAGAGTTGAGAAGATGTGAGACCTCACTCAAGCTCCTATAGGCAAACCTTGTCTTTGGATCCTGTAGTGTAGCATTCCTTCCTTCTGCAACCTTCCGCCACCCGCCTCGTGCGGGTTATGCTTGTATATAATTGCAGTTGTACTTAAAGTGTAGTGTCATGGTACTTATAGGCAAACCGGGTCTTTTGATCCTATAGTGTAGCATTCCTTCCTGCTGGAAACTTCCGCCAACCGCCTCGCGCGGGTTCTACTTGTATGATTGCGCATACATTCTGTATTTTGGTGTGGGTGTGTCTGTCTGTGTATGTGCCTGTGAATGTGTATGTAAATGCACATGTAAATGTATATGTATATGTTGATGTATATGTATACGTATGTATGTATGTATGCATGTTAATATATACTTAACGGTGCGCGAGTAAAAATTTTGCTTTCGCGGAAATTTCGCGTACTTCATGTTTATCTTTCGTGGGGTCCATGTTGGGGCCAGACTTGCTTAAGACATTGGCAAGGTCGGGGTGAGGATTCGATCAGCATTCGCTGTTTACTCTACATGCTGCATATGCCTTCGAAAAATGCGCATTCGCACCACGGAATCCCTTTTCAGGACAGATTGTTGCTGATTAGGTGCTTTTTTCCCCCAGACAGCGTGTCCACACTGAGGGGTTCTGGGTGTAAAGTGTAAAGGCCGATGCTTGATCAGGGTGCTCCAGCTGGCCTGCGGCATTTTACCTGCAAATTCTCGCATAGAGTGCCTCTTGTGCAATGTCCAAG